ATGATGTTCATGGGTAGTGACATTTTTTAGGTTATTGCTACTTTAATTTTGCAGGTAGAAACATTATATTAACTTTTACTCCCTGATGTTCAAGGGTAGTGACATTTTTTAGGTTATTGCTACTTTAATTTTGCAGGTAGAAACATTATATTAACTTTTACTCCCTGATGTTCAAGGGTAGTGACATTTTTTAGGTTATTGCTACTTTAATTTTGTAGGTAGAAACATTATATTTTTGACAATTTTCTGGCCTACTTGAGTTTTTTAGATCACAGGTTCTATTTAAAAATGAAATACAAGAGAGATTTGATTTAAATTTTATATATATTTATAGCAACTTAATTAACTTCAGACAGTACCTACTGATAAGATATATATATATAGGAACTCCCTGAGAAATGGAACAATACTAAGAAAATAGCAACTAATATCAAACAACAGATTGCTCCTCTGATTACCAATGAAGCCGCTGCTGTTCGACGCAGATCTGCTACATTTGATGTTAAACAACATGAGTTCAGAGAGAAATTTCGTGTTGGAGAGGCTTTTCAATTTGGCTGTTCCAACTCATATAGTATTTTAGACGAACTTCATCAAGATGTCCTTTCTATGGAGCAGGAAATGTATGGGCTTCAAGAATCAGCCGCACTGTTTGAAGTGAATGTTCCCGAATTTAAGCAGTTGCACCAGTGTCGTCGAGAAGTGCATCTTTTGAAGCAGCTGTGGGACTATATTCATGTCGTACAGAACAGCATTGGTGAGTGGAAGAAGACTCCTTGGACAGATATAGATGTTGAACAGATGGAAATGGAGTGTAAGAAGTTTACAAAAGAAATTCGTAGCCTTGACAAAGAGATGAGAGCATGGGATGCTTACTGTCAGATAGAAGCTGTTGTCAAAAATATGTTGACATCATTAAGAGCTGTAAGCGACCTGCAGAACTCAGCAATTCGAGAACGACATTGGCTTCAGTTAATGCAAGCAACAAAGGTAAGCAGGTAGAGGCTATAGAATCTCATATAAAAATTAAACTTGTGACTGTATATTCATTATAATTTTTTAAATCACTGAAATTAGATTCTTGGTAAAGCATTATTTTTATTGATATCACAGAAATTATCTGTTTTAATAACCAATAATTGCTACAGTTTGTTGTTTTGATGTATACTGTGTAATAATTAGAACATAATGTTATAATATTCTATCTGTGACAGAACATAGTGCTTTAATATCTCATGTGTGACAGAATATAATGTTTTAATGTGTTATAAAACATTATGTTTTAATATTTGATGTGTGACAGAACATAATGTTTTAATATTTGATGTGAGATAGAACATAATGTTTTAATATTTGATGTGAGATAGAACATAATGTTTTAATATTTGATGTGAGACAGAACATAATGTTTTAATATTTGATGTGAGATAGAACATAATGTTTTAATATTTGATGTGAGATGGAACATAATGTTTTAATATTTGATGTGAGATAGAACATAATGTTTTAATATTTGATGTGAGATAGAACATAATGTTTTAATATTTGATGTGAGATAGAACATAATGTTATAATATTTGATGTGTGATAGAACATAATGTGTGAATGTCTGATGTTTGCCATAACATAATTTCCGATATAGCTAGCTATTTTCGTTCAGTGCTGCCCTCTATGTGCAAATTGTTTTTTGCATTCTACAAGGCTTGAGCTCCCATGTACCCCATGATCAATGTGGTTGAACTGCGTCTCGCATTTTAATCATAATGTGACAACCCTCCACCAATAGGAGTGCAACACACTTTCTTGACACGTGACACCCTTTATTCGATTTTACTGAACTATCGCTTCTCAATTGGCAGTGCTAAACTCAAAACATGTTTTGTTGTGCTCTATTTAGGCATTTTTTTTCTTTACTAATATCATATGAATTATAAAGGTTTTTTCTATATTTGACTATTGTTTTTAAATTTTATAATTTTGTGTGCAAACTTACCTTAGTTAGTTTCGTTTTTATTTGAATAACTTTCACAATTTCATCATTTTATGTTGAATACTGAAGTTAATGTTATCACTTCAGAGGGTATACCATAATTACTCAGACTTCAGGTATACTGAGAAATTGTTGGTCTTTTTATCGGGAGACTGAACATCATCCGAGTCAACCTGGTAGTGCTCGATTTCCTCCTGAACAAGCCAAACCTGTTTGTTGTGATGACAAGGATTTTGACAACCTTTTTTTTCTTCCTCCCGAGTATCTCATGCCTCTTCTGTGAAATCTGCTAGACCTAATTCAATCTTTTTAGATATGATTTGTCAGGTATTTTCCATTTTCCCAATTTCTTATAATCCAGTTCCTTCCTTATTACAGGACAACCCTTCATGTTTACTGTTCATTACCTTAGGGTCTTGCAGATGATTCATTTCCTCCATTGTTTCATTTTTGGGAATATTCCTGAGACTTTTGACCCTTTTATCCTTTGTTACTTATTTGTCTCAACCTGAGCCCTTGCTATCCCCTGTTCATGTTCCACATCTGACATCCTCCCTTCCTGTACCTGTTCATCCCATTAGGGGTTCCACTGTTCGTCATTTTTATTGACACGGGTCTCATCGTTGCCAGCAGTACTGGTGATTATTCTGTGGGTTCTGGTCTGGTGGGGACACATATGACAGGAATTTGCTACAGCTCATTGGGTTTTTCAAGGTTTGTTAGAAAGACTTGTCATCCAGTTTGTTTCCCCACCCCTACTGTCTCCCATACCCATATCCTTTCCATTATCTTGGGTATCCTATTACCAATCAATGTCTGTCAAAGGCGGTACAGTCCCTTCTATCACAGAGAGCTATCAAGCCTGTTAGCCATCCCTCCCCAGGCTTTTATTCCAGGCTGTTTGTAGTACCTAGAAAAACTGGGGACTGGTGTCTTGTGATTGATCTGTCTCGCCTCAATCAATTTCTGGATCTTCCCCATTATATAATGGAGTCCTTTCCCACACTAAGGTGGATTTTTCTCTCTCCAGGATTGTGGAGAACCAAGGTTGATGTCTCGTATGCCTATGTACTATCTACACATTCTTATTTCTCATTGGTGCAGATGCTATCTTCAGCGTGTCCTTCACAGGGTTGTGTACCTGTTTTGTGCCTTTCCCTTCAGGCTTGCTTTGGCTCCGTATGTCTTTTGTTGGGTGGTTAAGCCTTTTGCCCAACTTATGCATGCTCGGGATTTGCACTTACACCACTACATGGATGATTGGCTTCTGTTAGCTCATTCCAAAATGGAGCCTTCACATTACATTTATCTACTTCTGTCAAGTGGGATGGATTATCAAGTTGGAAAAGTTTTTCCTCTCCCCTACTCACTCTCTTGTCTACTTGGGGGTCCTTTTCAACTCCCACCTCAGTCGGACCTATCCTCATCCTTCTCTTCAACTCCAATTGATGGCACCTTCAGTCCTCCACACACTTAGTGCTCATGAGGTTCTATCCCTTTTGGGGTCATGGGTTTCTATGGTAGTGGATTCTGCACGACCAATGGAATTTTGCTTGGGATCCTTTGGATTCTCCCATTTCCCCTTCCACCTTTCCTTGTTGACAATCTGTGTTGGTGGTCAAACTTGGCAATTCAAGCAATATGTTGGTACACTTTTTAGCCATGGCATAGCGGCTCATAGAATGGCTCTAAGTTTTTGAAGTACAAATGTTTAGTTCATTTTTTGATGGATTGGAGATCTAATTACAGTTTTAGACTCAGGAAGTAAAACCCTTTTGATTGATATATTTGACCATGCCCACGGTCTCATAGATTAATTTACTCTAATCCTGCCTAAAAGAATTTAAATTTAAGGGTAGGCTGGTAGCCTGAAAAGTAATAACATCAAATTGGGTATACATTTGGTATTGCTGGTGCACAAAAAGATGGCTAATAAAAAGGTCTCATAGATTAATTCACTCCATTCCTGCCTAAAAGAATTTCAATCTGGGTGTAGGCTGGTAAAGATCCTGATGATAATAAAATCAAATTAGGTATATGCATGCCCCGATACTGGTATTGCTGGTGTACAAAAAGATGGCTAATAAAAAGGAAATAAAGATCTCATAGATTAATTTACTCTAATCTTACCTAAAAGAATTTCAAGGGCCATGGCTATTCAGGATTCCATCTTGTTTAATATTTGATGTGTGACAAACATAATGTTTTTAATAATTTGAAGCTGTTATTCCTATGCACATTAAATACTTACTCTGAAGGAGTATGTGCAGATGTACTTGTATATTTCTTGGGTGAACAGTTTTTATTTTTTTATCAATAAAGTCTCTGAATTGCAAAGAAAAGAGTTAAATTTTCCTTATTACTTCAAACACATGAAATATTTCATGAGAATATTTGTTACTTATTTATTTTGCTCCAGGTAACCTTTATTATGGATGAAAATACAACTCTGGCTAATCTTCTTGGTTTGAATCTTCATGAATTTGAGGATGAAGTTCGAAACATAGTAGACAAAGCTGTTAAAGAAATGGGAATGGAGAAAGTTCTGAAAGAACTAGATATTACTTGGGCAACAATGGAGTTTGAACATGACAAACATCAAAGAACTGGTTGTACATTGCTTAGAGCATCTGAGGAATTAATAGAGACACTTGAGGACAATCAGGTTAGCATTAAAGGGAAAATAATTAAATACTATCTAAAATGTGCCAGATCTTAGTCTGAGCTGTATTTTCAGGTTTCATTAAAACATTTGATTGTTAGTGTAAGCTGTACTTTCAGGTTTCACTAAAACATTTGATTGTTAGTGTAAGTTGTATTTTCAGGTTTCACTAAAACATTCTGACATTTAGTGTAAGCTGTACTTTCAGGTTTCACTAAAACATTTGATTGTTAGTGTAAGCTGTATTTTCAGGTTTCACTAAAACATTCTGACACAAAATGTAAGCTGTATTTTCAGGTTTCACTAAAACATTTTGACACAAAATATAAGCTGTATTTTCAGGTTTCACTAAAACATTTGACATTTAGAGTAAGCTGTACTTTCAGGTTTCACTAAAACATTTGATTGTTAGTGTAAGCTGTACTTTCAGGTTTCACTAAAACATTCTGACACTTAGTGAAAGCTGTATTTTCAGGTTTCACTAAAACATTCTGACATTTAGTGTAAGCTGTACTTTCAGGTTTCACTAAAACATTTGATTGTTAGTGTAAGCTGTATTTTCAGGTTTCACTAAAACATTCTGACACAAAATGTAAGCTGTACTTTCAGGTTTCACTAAAACATTTGATTGTTAGTGTAAGCTGTATTTTCAGGTTTCACTAAAACATTCTGACACAAAATGTAAGCTGTACTTTCAGGTTTCACTAAAAAATATTGACTCTTAGTGTAAATTGTAATTTGAGATCTCACTCTCAGTTAGTGTTTGTATAGAATAATCAGATTATTTGTTACATCTGATTTGTTTACATAGCTCAAGTAAAATAAATAAAGTTATGAAACTTTTCAAAATTTAGGTCTGTCATAATTGTGTGAGCATACCAGTGCTTATTCTTTGCTAGCTGCTTCCAAAAGAGTTTATTAGAGTTTTAAGTTAAAAAAAAAACTCTCAAAAATGCTTTCATTATTCTTTTGATACCAAACCAGTACTGGAATGGCTAACTGGAAAATAATCAAATAACATTTTCTATTCCTCTTTGGTTGTTTCTGAGAGTTGAATCTGTTTTCAAAATATACAAACCAAGCTGAGTCAGAGAAAATTTAGAATTAAGTCTGAACAACCACCAAAGTTGAATGACTTGGTTGGAACTACAAAAGGAATTTGGAAATTAAATATATTTCTCAAGTCCTTCCTTTGGCTGATCTTGATTTAATAAAATGACAAAAAGAGCAAAGAATTGAAAGAAAACATATTTCAAGAGATATAATAGTTTGTTTAGTAAGTTGCTTAAAAGAAGTTATTAAATTAGGTCTAGGAACTTGAAATGACAAAAAACCTAACAACAATTTCTTTGTCTGTCAGTCTTCAAGACATGTATCTTAAAATTGTGAATCAAGATTTGGTATATATGCTAGGCATTCCAGATTTTTGTTCATTTATAGTATTTATTTAACTAGATAGCTATTTATATTATTTAAAAAATTCGTAGAATTTTGTGGTTTTTTTTGTGTTATTTAAGCATCTATAATGACAAGAATTAACAATCAAAATTTTCAGTGTTACTTCACACAGTATTTCCATTTCCTACACTGTTACTGGAAGGGTTTATTCATACACACATACCTATTAACCCGTTTATCTTGTTGATTAGGTCCAACTTCAGAACCTTATGACATCCAAGTACATTGCCCATTTCCTTGAAGAAATCTCCAGCTGGCAGCGGAAACTTTCCATGGCTGACCAAACTATTAGTATTTGGTTTGAAGTTCAGCGAGCATGGTCACACCTAGAAAGCATTTTCATTGGATCTGAGGATATACGTTCTCAGCTGCCAGAAGATTCGGAAAGGTACAATTTCAAACTTAAATATGTTTCTTGTTCAGTTATGTTTTAATTATTTTCTGTTCTTCAGGAAAGTATATAGTTCAGTGTTCCATTCTCATTAGATACAGAAACATACGTACTTACTCTCACACTATAGTTTTATTTCCATTCTCATTAGATACAGAAACATACGTACCTACTCTCACACTATAGTTTTGGAAATAAACCTATAGTGTGAGAGTAAGTACGTGTGTTTCTGTATCTAATGAGAATGGAAATATTTCCATTCTCATTAGATACAGAAACATCTGTACTTACTCTCACACTATAGTTTTATTTCCATTCTCATTAGATACAGAAACATACGTACCTACTCTCACACTATAGTTTTATTTCCATTCTCATTAGATACAGAAACATACGTACTTACTCTCACACTATAGTTTTATTTCCATTCTCATTAGATACAGAAACACACGTACTTACTCTCACACTATAGGTTTATTTCCATTCTCATTAGATACAGAAACATA